GAAAATACATGATGCTCACATCTTTAGAACATTAGAATTTTTAAAATTAAAATATAATTGGTGGGAACAATTTTCAAGGACAAAAGTGTTCCTATTATTAAGGCTGCAATGCCAGTGACAATTTATGGGGATTTAACCTACTCTCTGTTTTTCTGGTTTATGAAACCATATACCAAGTACTTAGTGAGCAGCAAAGAAAGATTTATCTGCTCTCTGAACAGTTGTAAGATGGCTGTTGAATGTGCTTTTGATACACTGAGAGGACACAGGAAATAACCCTGATTAAGGTCAATCTCAGTGAGCCAAAAATCCCTATTGGCATTGCTTTGCCAATATTATGCAAAAACACAATTTGCAGCAAAGTGTACCTGTAGGGTGGAACACTGAGATGAAAAGATGGTTCACTGATTTCAAACAGCCAGACACAAAAGAAGTTACAAGAAACAACTGAGATGCTGTACATCAAAAGTGTCAAAGACAGGGCCAGCAGAACCCTACCGCCCGGCCCCTCGCCATGCTGGCCCGGGGGGAGGTGTTCTCAGGCTAGACCTATGCGCTTGTGTGACATGAACAGGGGCAGCCCCACGTGTACACTGCCTGGGGAACATCCAGAGACAGTGTGCAGACTTGATTCAGCCCAAGGACAAGCCCAGCACCACTTATCCAGCCTGCAGGGCATAGCAAATTTGACATCATTGCTGTACAGCTAAAGGAGACTCTAAAAGGTCACTTTCATGCACTGTTATAGCAAGGCACTGAGCTCCATTTATGTACTACTTAAAACTAATCAGCTTGAATATGGATTTTCAATTATCTATAAGTGATTTTTAAGAATTTGGTACAAAAATTGCTCATTTGGGCTGTAATAAATTAAAGACTTGGTAAATAAATCATGCTTTTGGGGGGGAAAATATTTCATTGTACAGTAACAAACAGGGAACACTTAAACTCAAATATATTAAACAGCTTATTTGGAACACACACACACACACACACACACACACACACACACACACACACACACACACACACACACCAGCTCCCAACTGGTTCAACATTAAATCACAGGACTGTTTACATATAGTCACAGCAGTTCTCTCACTAAAAACAAATATATATTGTTCTTCATTGTCCAAGTCATTCCTCTTTCTGATTAAGGTCAGTCTCCGAGCAGGTATGCTGTGGGCAATTCAAAGATACATCAGGCAGGCACAGTGGATAAAGAAAGAATAGAACATTAATAATGTTAACAGAAAGGAAAGGAAAAAAATTCCATAAAAATAAATAGGGGGACAGACTAGCTTTGGGACAGCTTGCTTCAAGACTGCTCCATAGTTCTCAGCAAGGTAAGCAGCATGTAGAAGGCTGTCAGAAGCCTAGAGCAGGGGTTGGCAGCCTATGGCCCCTGGGTTCATTCCAGCCCATGAAGAAGCTGAAACCAGCCTGGGAAGGTATAACTTGGCCTGGGGCAGCATAGAGGATCAGGCATCTCAAAACTGCACTGAACTCATTCTCTCCACAGCCCCCTCCTCAGCAACCTTCCCTACTGCTCTCTTGTGCCTGCACTTACCTTGCTAGAGAGGGACCAGATATCTGCAGTGAAGGAGATATCTACTTGAGCTCCTCAGGGGTAGAGATTTGCAGTTGTGGGAACAAGACAAATCACAAGTTCTGGCCCAGGGCAGCAAAATGTTGTGAACTCCTGAGTCTAAAGCCATAAGGGAAGAAGATTGTATATGCAGTATCCCGAGCTCTAAGTTAAAAAAAAAAAAAATCAAGATGGCTAAGCTAGTCAGGCAGCTGTAGTTATAGTTCTCCTGACTGCCAGAGAATTCACTACTGAGGATGTCAAAGGCAGAGAATTACAGCTGCTTGCACCCATTTGCAGTTATCCCCTTATGTAGACAGTGCTGTCAACAATGATGCCAGCAGCAGCTAAGTCTCCTACAGTTACAACTGGAATAAGACTGACCTTCCTAGAAATATTATCTTGACTATTACTGAGATTGTGCCAGAGGACAAAAGGATAGTTGGGGCTAGATAAACACAAAGCACCCCAAAACAGTGGGGCAGGACCAGCTCTACAAGCCAAGGTAACCCTCTTGAGGCCCCAGCAAAGTCTCTCAAATTCTAACTCTCAAATTCAAAAAGAGCCTGACAGCAAGTCTTTTAGACTTGGGCAACTGAACTAGATAAACCCAAGGCACTTATTTTGCAACATTTACTCAACAGATTTGCTCAAATATCTCATAATCTGATTGGCCATTTATTGGATTGCCTGCAAGTGTTATTTGCTATAACCCTGGTACTCATACCTGTTTTAGTTAATGTTTCCTTTTGCAATTGACTGATTTAGGTTAGTAGAAATTCCATTTTGCTGCTACACCCGATGGCTATTAACTTGCTGTAAGATTCCCTCATTTGACTACCAGAACACATTTGTGATTTCTCAAGTCAGTTCCTCTATTCTCTGGACACTTGCATATGGCCACCATTTTTTAAGAACAAGGGGAGGTTGGAGGTTAAGCATAAGAAAGAAAACACAACCCATACATTCTTTTTTAAATAATTTTTCTTACTGGACTGAATCTCTTAGCCAGAACTAGGCATACAGCATAGCATGACTGACTCTCCTTGTCTTCATCTCCTACCATGGTGCTTGTCAATGAGTTTCCTGTTGCTGATTTCTGCTGAGATTCCCTCTTCTGAATCTTCTGTCACTATCTGGGTACTGGTGCGGATAAAGCCAAACATGGTCAACAGATTCACTCAGTGGGAAGGGTAATGGGTGGCAATCCGAGACTTTCTTCTGGCATTGTTTCTCATCCCAGTTGTATCCAAGCTCTTCTATCCTCTCTGCAATGTTCATCTTTATTCCTGCACTTGTTTTGCACATGGCCTTAAATGGTCAGTCTGACCCAGGGCTTCTTTTCTGATCCAGGCTGCAGTCCAATGTTTACCTGAAGTTCTGGCTTTGCACAAACATGCCTGACTGCTTACAAAAGATGGCCTAGCTTAATGGAAAGGAAGTCGCACCACATACTTCCCAGTCAAGGTGACCCCTTAGGTAGCAACTTTCAAAACTGTGATCAGAGTTCTGCTGTGAAGGACAGAAGTGTTGTGGGAATGTTGCTGATGGGCTGTTAACCAGGCAAATAATGCAGTATCCACAATGACATTTTATTGGCATAACTATGCTCACAGAGGACTCGCATGATTCAGGAAGATGGTTTACTTCTACCTACAGGACTAAAAACTGGCTGGTGGACAAGGAACAAGCATGGCTACATCACCTTTAGCCAGGAAAATATTATAATGCAAAACCAGCCTAAGCTCTCTTGCATCCCAGTGAACAGCTAAATTAAATCCTTGTAACAGTTTTGTTTTGCCCACGCATCCCCAGTGCATTTCTCTCATTGCTGGGAGAGTATCACTGCTGTGCAGCAAGTCCTGCAACAGTTGTTACAGCAGCAATAAGAGGATTTGGGGGGGATTAATAAAACTTCTGGAGATTTGATGCAAATGTTATTGCATGGCACTAAATGAGAATGGTGTGGGGTTTTGTTTTGGTTTTGGTTTTTTGGTGGGGGGGAGTAGGGTATCATTACTTACAATATTTGGGGCCCTTTTCATCAGGGATCAAAATGTTCATACATATTCAAAAGTAAATCATTCTTTTATTCTAAAGCAGTCTTGCTCTTGTCTAAGTAATGTCATTTTGATTTCTTTTCAAACTTACCTACAAATGGAACTTTAAAATATAAAAGCTTCAGATGAAACATATTTTTGTGAAACAAACTGTAAGTTTAATACCAGAAGAGAACTTTCACAGAAAAAACGCAAGAAATATGAAGTAGATGGATGAAGAAAACAAGTAGTTAAGAAAAGTAAACTTGTAAATGTTCTTCATTCAAGGTTGTGAAATGGATTTGAGTCCAACAATTCTATTAACTGCTAATGGTATGAAATGGAGAGTACACTAAATGTTAATCTGTTCTATACAACAGGAAGCCAAAGCCAAATTATGAAAGTGGCACTTTGAAGGATAGGCCCAAACCCATTTGTTACTTGCTAAATGGGAAAAAATCCCCACCTTGGCAGTTGGAAGGAATGGGACTCATATGGAAGGATCCAAGCCTATGAGAGCTTCATGCCAGAGGTAATGCTAAAGTGGCAGGGCTATTCTGGGGACCTTCATATTACTATTAATACATGACATCTAAAAACAAAGATACAGGCAGAACAAAAGCCATTAAGAAATATGAAGCAGCTCTTGAGAGGGAACAAAAAGTTAAGTTCGGAAAATATTGTACTATATTAGGAGTAATGCATGAGGCAAAAACTACCATTGTGTATACAAACTGCTTAAGCAAGCCTAGGAACCTTAGAACAATCTGAGGAATCAGAAGGAACCAATGAAGAACAAGCTAACAAAAAAACTGATGGAGTTCAGAAAATATAAAACCTAAAGGCCAAGGGAAGAAAGCATGTGCAGCTTAGATTAGATAACCAATAGTTTCCTGAAATACCCAAATTGATGTTTTAAAGCAGGAGTGGCCAACCTGCAGCACAGGTGCCACAGGCAGCCTCCGTGTGTGGCATGCAGCAGATCAGGGAGGGAGCAGGCAGCACAGGTAGACAGGGCAGGGAGCACAAGGCTCAGAGTAGCAAGCAGAGTAGCAGACCAGGAAGGGGAAGGAGTTTGGAGTGGCACTTGGGTAGGGTGTGAAGCTAATTTGTGGCAGGACTACCAAAAAGGTTTATCCACCACCATTTGTAAAGGATACAGCAACTGCTGCCAGTCAACAAAGACAAAAGAAGGTCAGGGCCAGGAGGCTGAAAATCAGTTTAATAATGCACTACTAGTCTCTTCCAGGACACACAACACCTTCAAAAAGACTAAATTAAGAGCTTAACTTTAAGCAGGTTTTTTACGTTTGTGTTAATTAAATATCAGTAATGTTAATAAGTTATTTAATGTGAAAAATCTTAAGACTTACTTGTCAAGGAAGTCCTTGTCCACTACCGCACAAATGTCAAGAAGAGGATTTCCCATCCCAAAAAGGACATTTTCACTGCAAAAGAACCAGTATTAAAAAATTAGTTTCATGTTTCTAATTTTATTATAAACACTAAATTAAATAAGAAACAAATTAAAAATACTTCAGGGAACAAGAGTGTTTCTTGAATAATTATATTAAAGGACAGATATGTTTAAGTTTTGCCCAGTAGAGAGCTGCACAGATGACTTGATTCAAAATGCCAAACCTGTAATCAGTGTTCTACACTAAATAGAAATCTCAAACAAGTTAGGTTCTGTATTCTATTAAGTAGTGTTTCATTCAGATGAAGGATGAACACGGCATATCAACTGACCACAGGGTGCACTTAGGTTCCATCCTTGGATTTTATAAAAGCGCAGTACAAGATGAGATTGTACAGTTCCATATCCAAATTTAGTTGATAAAGTTACTATCCAGGCAATAATACACTTAACCTTATAAAAAGGTAACAATTAACAGCCAGACTGGCCTTGGCACTTCCACTTAGCTGGTCTCAGAAAAACTATAAGTTTGCAGATGAAAAAATCTGAATGTTAATTTTATGTCTAAAGGTTACTCAATGTGTGATACAATCCATGATGCCAAACAGTAGGTTCTGAATAGATATGAACAACCAGAGGAAATTATTATTATTAAAATATTTGATAAGGGCTAATTTCAAAAGTAGTATTCAGTGTAGTCTGAGCGACAAAGTAGTAATACCAAGGAACTAAATACATGACATGGAAGCAAGCTGTTGTGAATGCAGCTGTTCCCAGTAAACTTTCTAAAACTAGATTCTACCACATTCCTAACTAAACCAACACCTGCTGGCTCTTAATACCACCATGATCTAGCTACTCAAATCATATCTGAAAACCAAATACAAAGAAGCTACAAAATAGGTCCCTTCCTCCCCACTAAATACTCACTTTTAGAGGTAGATAACACTCAAGAGAGATTGCCAACATACTGCCACAATATTTCAGGCTTAAAAACAGAATGCTCTGAAGTCAAGCAAAGCAATTTGACCTAACTGTCTTTCACTCTGAGATCCTAGCTCAAATAAAAGTTAAGCTAAAAATTGAGCTGCCACAGCAGCATTTCTAACCAAGTTTAGGACCACATATAAAAGGTACACAATTTCACTGATTCATCTGGCAAGCAAACCAAATGCATTTTACTATCTCTTACTCAGGAGAATAAAAGCCAAAGAATCGAAGATGAAAAAAACTAGGGAAATTTTAAAGATGGGGGGGGAAAAAAAAAATTTAAAAATTAAAAAAAAACCTGCAAGCCCAGGAAGTAGCTCAGGCAGTTATTACTTCCCTCCACACTCTCCCATCCTAAACTGTTTGCAAATCCCCTTCCTTTTTTCCTACCGTATGCTGCTCTCTACCTCAAAGTGGACATGAACAAATGCTATTCTCCCCTAAAAACATTAATCATTTTCCCCAAACACATTCTGCCATCCTTCAGGTCAAACTGCACCACTTCTCCATCAAATGCAGTGAGAGTTGTTTCTACTTAGTGCCTACACGCTTCCCCCAAATCTTGTCTTCTACCACCCACTTCAGGTCTCAATACAAAATTCTGCTAAGCCATTTAAGATAATATTACAAATACCTGCAATAAAGTCCCTTTTCTCTATCAAATTCTCTCTTTCTGCTGTCACTGTTGTCATGGTATATTTGAGCCAGGTCTATAGCCCAAACTTTTTAGAAAGTATGTGTGTGAGAGTCAGGGTGTAGAGTGGTACAATTTGTGACCAACATAGTAAAAGCATGCAGTGTAGATGCACTTACACCAGCAAAACTGAGTTTCTGCCATCATAGCTTATTACACTATGGAAAGGGACAGGCAAACAGACTGTACCAGGAAAAGTCCAGTTTTGCTGTTACAAGCTAAATCTCCAAAGGAAGCATTTTACTAATGCA